CCCCCCCCCCGCACCGATAAACTTAATAGCTTCCGAAATTTACGCGATTCGGCGTAACCGGGTTTCGAAGAAAATTTTGGCGCCACTTTCGTCGTTCCTTGACTTGCTCGCCTATTTTCTCGTTCCAGAAACGCGACGTATATATATGTGTGTGTGTGTGTGTGATATTTCCACGTGGAGGGAATTTTTGACGATATACGTTAAACAGCGTTTCATTTTTGAAAGTCAATGGAAGGGAAATATATCGACGTTATCGATTCATACAGGGCAATGTGCCCGAATCTGGTGCCATTTATCGCGGTTTCTCGCCGTTATCAGGCGCTGCGATAATTGTAATTTACGACAGAAACGTGTTGCTAGCGACCTGGCAACCGAGACGAACGCGAACCCCCGAATTGTGTGTACAAAAATATACCTCGGAAATATTTTAAACAGTTTCTTCAAACTGGAACTGGAAGGGGACGAAATTAGGAACGCTCGTTTCCGTTTCTGCAAAAAATTTCCATGGAACGTTGTTCCATTCAACTTCAGTTGTAAGGAAATTTTAATTTCATTTCATTTCATTTTTTTACTCGCGTCGTGACGTCACAAAACATGAAGATTGCACATTTATTTTTCTAACTTTCTAAAGTTTCGCGAATGGAACTAGCTTTTCTTTTACATACACTTCTCGCTAAAATTAAGGGATATCCATGCTCCATTACTTTCAGTTTTTTTTGTAATAAAAGTCAACAGCAACGATCGATCAAACGCAAAATCATATCAATATTTCCTAATTATTTGTGACCAGTAAATTGACCGTCCACACATGTGGCATCGATTTCTTTTGCCAGATTAATAGAGCGACTCAGGTTTGAACAGATGCTAAGAGCGCTTAGCGGATTTCGAAATTCGGAACAGTTTGCCGATATTTTATTAAAATATATAGTTTTCCGCCGCGGACGGAATATTAGATTATTCAGCGTATAACGCTTGTCGGTGGGGGGCCAGTTCCCATGAAATTCGAGAGGAACAACACGCACGGCCCGTGTCCGCCTATAATCCGCGAAAACACAGTCGAACTATGAACAAACGGCTAGCCAGGAACAACCGTGAATCCGTTTAAATGGTAATTCGGATAGCTAGTTGGCACCTAGAGGCTGCACGCACCGTATCGATGCATTTGCCCCGTTCGTTTCGTCGTATGTTT